ATAGGTATGATACGTACTTTGAGATATCATAGTCTTGGTCAAAGCCAAGGGGTGTTGCAAGAAGACAATAAACGTGCCTTCCAAGCTTGATGGTTTGCCCCAAGTGGTGGACATGTGGAAGTATATTATTGGCCTATCTGTCACCTCACAAGTCCAACACATGGCACCATTTAACCCACGTGGAGATGATGTGACATTGTCATGTAATGGAGATAACACTTGTACGTGCACAGTTACATGGATGACTTTCTTTAGTGTTCATGGAGCCTTGAGGTTTGTTTAAGGTGTGTAGCTTCAATATAGTTGATTGTCGCTGTATAAATGTCATACTGCGTAAAGTTGAAATTTCTGGCATACGGCACAATTATCAGAGGACCTGTTGATTAGTTCACCCCTCATAAAGTGTTTCTCATCTTCAATAATTTTCTTATCATAATTAACTGAAGATTGAAGTGTTTCTTTCAAATGCAGATACTAAGTTTTTTTTTCTTCTTTATTTTTATTTTCCAATTCCCATTGCAGAATGTGACTCGTTTCTTCATGCATTTGTGTGCAGGGTGTTGCTATTACACAAGAGAATTCTTTATTAGACAACACTGCAAGAATTGAGGGTTGGGTAGCTAGATTTCCAATGTTTGACTGGGTGGGTGGTAGAACCTCTGAAATGTCTGCAGTTGGTCTGCTTCCTGCAGCGCTTCAGGTCAGTTATCTCTAGTTTCAGAATTCAGTGTGTCATTTTTTCCATTATTCAGTAATTTATAACAAATGCTTATTTCAGGGAATTGACATTAAAGAAATGCTTGCTGGTGCATCATTGATGGATGAGGCAAATAGGACCACTGTGGTAAAGATTTGTTATTCATTTTCTCCTCTTATATTACTATAAAACATTGTTGTCTTGTGATAGTATTTTTTTCATTTGAGTTACTGACTGAAGGCTTTTCTACAAATGTGGGAAAGGCATTTTCATGTTCTTTGCTTTCTTCATCTTCTTATTCTTCTCCTCCATATTTCTTTTTCTGGCCTTGCAAAGGGTTGTCCATCTCTTTTTGGCTATACAAAGGTATTGTTATATGTCGAGGACCTGAGGCGTGTCTCCTACCAGTGTTGTGTACCTTTTGTGAGGTCTAATGAAATTGGAGATAAAAATTGGCTGGTTCTGTTCTTAATTATGAATGATTAATTAAGTCGGTTTGGAATTGCTCAAGAAAGCTGTTAAATTAGACCATTACAAGAAAGCTGTTCAATCAGACCATTGCAAAAATTACACAACCCAACGAATCTTTCACTGCACTATGATTCTTGTTTTTCTAGTTTATCAATTTTCCTCCAGATGTTGTTCTGAATTCAGTTGTTTCCCAAGCAGTACTTGGCATTCTTTTTTGGCTTTGCTTTGTGCAATTCATCAATCGGAATGTTTGTTATGCTGCTTTAATGTCTAAGGAGTATCTCATCCACTTTTTGATAAACTGATAGAGCTGTAGCCACCAGAGAGCGATCAATCGATAGAACTGCATGTTTAATTTAGTTGGATTGCCAACTACTTCAGTACTTTTTTTTCCGGGAAATAAACACTATGTTTAGAGGACATATCTCTTGAATTGATTTTCTAATGCCTTCTAAGATAATTGAAACAATAATGTTAGGATAACCATCTTTTCTTACCATAATTTTTGAACCACCTTATGTGTCAACACTATTGTTTTAATGAGTCTTGTCACTTGTGCTTGTTACCAATGTAGTTTTGGCACATGAGATGGTAACAAAACATGGCAAGAAAATGTGGTCATTATAGCATTATTGTAATTGAAATAGGATAGTGGAATACATTTTTCATTTCTACTTTCCATGTGAACATGATGTGAAACTGCATAATTGACTGAAAAGTAGGAATAAGGAATTATGAGAAAGAATATCAAAATCTCGTTTTTGGATTTTATTTAATATATTTGTTTCTATTTTTTTTTTTTTTAAGGTGAGGAATAACCCTGCAGCATTGCTAGCTTTATGCTGGTATTGGGCTTCTGATGGAGTAGGATCCAAGGTATTGCTTCAATTTGTCTTTTTATCTGCCTTCTGTCTCACTATGTTATATTGCATTTTCGCTCCTAAGCTTGTTTGGTTTGGATTTTCAAGATTCACTTTTCAGAAAATTGAAATTTTTTTGTTTTACTTATTTATTTATTTTTTTTACTGAATTTTTTTAATATTCTAAGTAATATTTTTAATTTTTAGATACTTCTAACATAAATACACTTAAAAAGTATAATATTTGTGAAAAAAATCTTTAGAAAATTCACTAAATACCAAAAAAAAAAAAAATGAGAATTCAGTATATTTTTCGTATTCTTGTGTATTTATTGATTTTTTAAAATATTTTTTTACAAATATTTTCCTTTTTGGATACATTTAAGTAAGTTATATCTAAAAAAGTAAAAAAAATTGCTTAAAATTTTAACGACATTCACTAAAAACAAAAAAACACGAAAAACAAAAAAACAAAAAAAACAAAAAACTCAATTTTCAGAAAATTGAAACCAAACACACTAATGTTTTGGTTTTTTTGAATTTGCACAGGATATGGTTGTTCTTCCATACAAGGATAGCCTATTATTATTTAGTAGGTATTTACAGCAGCTGGTCATGGAATCAATTGGGAAGGAGTTTGATCTGGATGGTAATCGGGTATGTTCTACCATCTCATGTCAACCCTTTTTGTTCGTATGGCATGCTTGAAATATGGCATGCTTGAAATTTGAATGAGGATAAGATTTGATGACTCATATGTCATTATCTATTTAACTGGCATTAGATTTGTTTACATTGAAGCATTGCCATGTATCTGGTGAGAACTAAAAAAGTGTGAATGTGTGACTAAGGTTATTTATTGTAGAACGGCCATTTCCGCCCTAGCATTATAGTTTCAACTTGGCAGTGGTTCAGGAAACAGCCAAATGGAGTCATAACGTTGTTTGAGGAAATATTATTCCTTTGATCTATTCTTTGGAGGCATCTTAAATATATTTTGGTTTTTAGGGTAGACTTTCTAACTTTTTAGTATTGCTATTACCACATCTGGCTAACTAGGTGACATGCATAAATTTTATTACAAGTCTTCTAGCTACTTTGGGCTTCAGGTCATTTTCTTTGCTCTGACTATATCTTGATATCTCTTACTAAACCAAATTTGTCTTGTAATAGATTTTTTTCTTCAATTTTTTCCTTACTGGAAAGTAGAAGTTGATATTAGAAATCTGGTTTCTTACCCTCGTACCTTTTCTCATATTCATTCAATTAGTAATTGGACTGCTGGCTATCAATTACCCAAGTGTTAAAACAGCATTTGATCCTTGATTTTCAATGTGTGGACATTTTGATGTAGAAGGATTCATGCATCTTTATCCATTCACCCTTTTCTATTGCTTTGATATACTGATTTAAGCCACTATTATCCTTTGGTAATCATAGTAGAAGAAACTTTGGTGTTTTTCCTTTGGCTTTTAAATTTTAAGTTTTTGATGAGTTGTTAAACCTTTCTTGTCCTAAGTGGAAGCATGCTTTTAATAAAGATGTTTCAGGCCCTCTTTTCACAGTGGTGACGTTGACTTCTTGATCACTTATGCTAGTTCTTACCTCCCCTATTTTACCTCAACAGGTGAATCAGGGACTTACCGTCTATGGAAACAAAGGGAGCACAGATCAGCATGCGTGGGTTTTTGTTATCGTGTTATACTTTTTCATATGTCTGCAGCGGATTTAGACCATGATTAAGCCTTCCATGTCCTTTTCTACAGCTACATCCAACAACTGAGGGAGGGTGTGCACAACTTCTTTGCAACATTCATTGAAGTGCTTCGTGATAGACCCCCTGGCCATGATTGGGAGCTTGAACCAGGTGTCACATGCGGTGACTACCTGTTTGGAATGCTACAGGTTCGTTTTTTGATATCCGTTTTCTAGTGTGATATATTAAGATTGGATATGTGCTCTATGTAAATCAGTATATGCAATGTGATTCATGGCAACAAGTGCAGATAATGGCTAAGTGACCACATTTATAATCTTTGATGATACATTATTTGAGAAGGGGAAAAGCTAAAGCCTTACTTTCTGACTGAAGGCTTCACGTTTCGTTAATTTTTAGGGTGACTTGTGAAACCTCTTTTGAGGCTCTGAATATAATCTTGACTACCCTCTAGGATTCTGATGCAAGACTGACCTCCCTAATCCCTATAGGTTTTATATTGACTGAATCATTTCCCTTTGAACTTTGGATGTGATGACAGGTCATTAGCTACTGATTAGCCCCTAGAGGTGTTAATGAGCTTTGTGATGAATATTCAATCTTTATCTGTTTATGTCCACGATGAGTTATAAAGTATAGACTCGAACCATTGGTCATTAAGCACCCTAAATGTCTGATTTATTCACAACAGTGAGAACCTTACATCCCATTGGTTGTTACTTATTAGGCATACTATAAAATGTCTGCTGCATGCACAACAGTGCGAACCTGCCATTCCATAGGTTAAGTACAGTGAACTTTTGGTGCATGCGTATTGAAGAGAACCGACTGCTAGATGCTCCTCCTGTGGATAATTTCTGTAGTATAATATTATCTTGTTTTATAAATGTGAATTTTTTTTATTTGGAAACTGACTTCTTTTTTTGAAGAAAAGTTATAGTTCTGTTAGTTATAATATTGAACTGGCTTACTATTGATTCTGGACCTTGACTTACATTCTTTTGCTTTTCTTCTTGTCCTTAAAATATTTTCAACTGGAACCAATCTACACTGACTGCATCATTCAGTGCTCTTTGCACATAATTGGATTAACTTTATTTTTCAATAATTAGTAATAGATTAGTTTGGTTTTCTCTGAATTCTTCTACGCAAAACTGGTTTTGAATTTTTGCAGGGAACAAGGTCTGCTCTGTATGCCAATGACCGCGAGTCCATTACAGTTACTGTGCAAGACGTGACACCTAGATCTGTTGGGGCACTAGTAGCACTGTATGAGCGAGCGGTTGGGATTTATGCCTCGCTGGTCAACATTAATGCTTACCATCAACCTGGTAAATAACTGTTTCCTTTTGCTGTCCCCTAGAAATTTAGCTCTGGAACTGCAGACAAAATTTCCAGAGGAATCATGCCTTTGCACCAAGCTATGTTTTGAAAAAATTACTTGTGCATATGGAACATCTTGTTTTGGGTGATTTTTTTCTCCCACTCTATTATTCCTGTATTCATGATATTTTAATAATTTTATTTTTATCTCAGGCGTGGAAGCTGGGAAAAAGGCAGCAGGAGAAGTACTAGCTCTCCAGAAGCGGGTTCTTCAAGTACTCAATGAGGCCAGGTATGCCGTCAATGTTGCAAAATTGTGACAATCCTGGATGTCTTGTGCATTTGTTTTGAAATGGAAAAGGCCTTCAAAAAAATCATGTTTTTATTTTACGTATTTTTTATATCATAGATATCATAAATCCAAATTTATGGTTGAAGGGTACCCATTGAGTGTGCGATGGCATTGTTGTGGTAGCTTCTTAGGTAACAGCTATTGATTATGACATGTGTTTGTGTCTCTTCTGATTTTGATCAAGAATAATTCCCTTTTTACTGTTGCATTTCTTTCTTTCATGATTCCTAGTCGCAATGAACATATACTTACAGACTTTGTTTCTTTATCTCAAAAATGCTGCACATGTATAACATTGCAGATATGTATATGATATATGGAATTTTTTCTTTACTTCTTGTCTTCCAACTAACACCCCCGAGCTCACACTTGAACTGGACCTTAAAAGCCTGCTTAGATACTGTTAAAAGAACAATCCTTACTGCAGTGCATATAGTCTGACCACTTTTATCCCGGCAATTTGATCCATTTATAGTCTAGTACTCTCTATATTAGCAATGCATAAATTTTGAAAACTGAATAATTAAAAATGGCCCAGCTTTGGTGAATGCAATTCCCTTGCAGTGTTCTCATCTTTTCACTTTTTTGGAACACTGATGACCAGTTTTATGCTTTTACATTTCTTTCCCAGCTGTAAAGAGCCCGTTGAACCATTAACACTCGATGAAGTAGCCGAACGTTGCCATGCTCCCGAAGATGTACATACCCATCTTTTCTCTAACAACTGTGTATGATTGTATCCAAGTATTTTATCATCTTATATGACAAATATTTTGCTAATACTGTGTGACATGGCAGATTGAGATGATTTACAAGATTGTTGCGCACATGGCTGCCAATGACAGAGCACTGATTGCCGAAGGCAGCTGTGGTTCACCACGGAGCATCAAAGTTTTCCTTTTGGAGTGTATTGTGGATGAAATATAGGCATGAGTTGTGACTGCAGAACCACGTTTTGTAAGTTATTCCTCGTGTTTTTGATTTTTCACATAAAAAAGGCTTCCAGTCAACTTGTTTTGAAAGTCTGCTTTGGATCTTTTGTTAGTATTGAGAATAATTACGTTGGAATTATCTGGAACAAAAATCTTGTTTTGAGTTCTGTTTCTCCACACTTTCACTGTCATGCTATATGTTATCGCTTATGCTTAGTCTCAACTACAAGAAATTCATTTGAAGGGACTGAATAAATTTGTAGCTCGTGTTGCATCGGAGAACTCTGATTCCTTCAAGCATGCACATCAATTGCAAAGCCCATTATTGCGCTTTTGGTATTGTTGTCGTTTTCTGTATTTTTCTGTTTTCTAAAACAGGAAAAACAAAAAGATTGATACTGAAAACCTTTGCCATTTCTGAAATTGTATTTGGGATTTGTATGGTTGGCTAAAGAACTTGTTTTTGTTGAAATATTTTCAAATATTAAGGGTGTGTTTGGTAACGTTTACATTTTCAGTTTATATTTACAAAAATTTTATAAACTGGTTTTTGTTTATTTTTAGAAAAACATAAACTACAAACGCGTTTGGTAATTGACAAAATGTTTAAAAAAAATTAAAATATAAAAAAGAATGAGAAATGGCAAGTGGTGACAAAAAAAAAAAAAAAAACTGAAAACTCAAAATGGAAACACATTTTTTGTGTTTTCATTTTTTGGCCAAATTTATAAACTGAGACCACTAATTTATAAATCAAAAATTTTACTAAACAAGTTTTTATTTGAGTTTTTAAAATTTTTGTAAATATAAACAGAAAACTGAAAACATAAGTGTTACCAAACAGCACCTAAATGTTGTTGAGGTTTTCAAAACTCACTATTTTTTGTTTATTTTCTTGTCCTTATGAAATATTGCCCCACATTAAAAAGGAGGAGAAAAGTAATTTATTAATAAATGAAGTCATGAAAAGTTTTCTTAATTTAAATAGAACCAAGTTCTTGGTTCGTGATCAAGGACATTGTGAATCATCAGATGGAGTGAAGTTTTTTTGTTCTTCTTTTATCTATTCATCAATGCAAAACACAGATTGACACACAAGAATTTGGACTTCATTGGATCATCCAAACAACGTCTGGGGCTACTACGAAAAAATACCATCAGATTTCAGAATATTTAAAAAATTTACTCAATTGGCCAAGTCTTTTATATATTTTCACAGTGGGAGCAAACAACATACTTTAGGATAATGATATTTTTTAAGAAACACAAATTATTTTTAAAAATTTTGAAAATTATTTTCATTCAAAAATAAAAACGATTGATGTTTTTAAATTTTCTATCATTTTTATTTTTGAAAACATAAATTTAAGAAAAAAAATATTAAAAATAATACCAAACAGGGCAAATGGCACTTTGGGATTCCTTTGGTTTCGTTTTAGAGTAATGGTTTGAGTGTGAAATTGTGTTTTGAGTTTTGAGTTTTTCAATCATGATTTGGAAAGATAATTTGTTTGGTTATGAGTTTTGAAAATAATTCTGTGACGATTTATAATGTTTTTAAATTTTTTTTGATTGATTGATATATAGAATGTACGAAAATGTGAGGGGAGAAAAAAAAATGATTGATTGATTGATTCATAATAATTATAAATAAAAAAAAAGATTAGAGGAGTTTTGAAAGTAATTTTAGTTGTATTTTAAAAAATATGTTTGATTAACATGTTTTATCTAAATCATGATTTAAAAATTATTCCAAATGCTACCACGAATACTGAAATTTTATTTTGATTCGGCCATAAATTAAAATGCTATGTTAGGAATTTCAAAAAAGTATCAAATATTTTACATAGTAATCATGTGGGTATAGAATTAACATCATATGATACATTGGATAATTAAAAAAAAAAAAAATTAGCATTTTTGTAAATTAAAATCTAATGTGACCATGTTGCCTTGAAAGTGGTGATGGTTGTGTCACCTAGACAGTTCTAAGCGGTTCGTAAGAGTTCAATCATACTGTTACACGTAGGTGTTAGCTAAGGTGGCCCAAGGTTGCAAACAACTGGAGTTTAGTCAAGTAATTGATTGCTTAAGATTGATTGATTTATTTAATGAATTTCAAAATATGTTAATATTTGAATTGTATAAGATTGATTTGATTTCTTAATGAGTTGTAAAATGTATTTAAATTAAACTTATATACTTCTCTAATCGATCTCGAACAAGGGTCATCATTTGACTCAACAACCTAGTTTTTACTCAACTTAAGCCCTTACTTTGGGAGGGGCTCGATAAAAAATTGAAAAAACAAAATTAAAAAATGAGATTAAAAAAAAAGAGGTCCAAACTTAATCCTTTACTTTGGGAGGGGCTCGACAAAAAATTGAAAAAAAAAAAAATTAAAAAATGAGATTAAAAAATAAAAAAAAGGCCCAAAATATCAAACCCATCCAAAGCAAGTTGTTGGGTAAAAAGTTTTCGGTCCTGGATCAGTCCAAATTATTAGAAAAAAGGTCCATCTGACTTAGCTCTTATGTGGGCTTTGGCACTATATTTGCGGCCCGGCTGGCTTGATATTAATCTAAAACAAGATTTAATTAAGTTGATATTAAGTTGAGTTCAAGTAATTTTTTATTTATTTTATAATACACATAAATTTATCTAGTTAAATAGCACCTTGTTTAAATTTGATTAAAAATTTAACAATTTTAAATTACTTTTATATTTAACTTATTTATAAAAATAAATCAATCTAAAATATTTTTTTAACAAAACACAAGTCAAATTTAAATAATTTGCAGCCTTTAAATAGGATAATATATGCTTTACAAAATTGATTCAGTCTTTTTTAATGCAGTTGGGTCAATGGTCACTTTCCCTCTAAACAAACAATCCACAAAGAGGGAACAATGAAAGGTTACATGATCCCCCATCCATTTCATCTTGGTAAGATTTATCTTCTTTTACTTTTTAATTATTTTTTGAATAAATTATAATGAGAATTCTTAAAACTTTTAAAAATTAAAATAAATAGATTTTATAAATTTGACATAATTATATTGATCACATTTTTAGTAAAGATAAAACAACCAAAATTAATGCCAATGATGTATTAACACAAGAATTAATAATATAAAATATATATTTATGCTGTGTTTGGTTGGGGGATTTGAGGAAGGATTTGGAAAGAGAAATGGAAAAGGTAGGTGAAATGTGAATAAAATATACCTAAATTTCACCTATTTTTACACACTTTTTTCCTTTCCTTTTTCAAATCTCTCCCCAAATCCCTCAACCAAACATAGCGTTAAGAAATTTATGAAGTTTAATGTATTTTTCAAAATCTCAACAAAAAGTAAAGGTCATTTATTTTTTTATGGATATTATGGTACAATTTGAATTGAAGTATGTTGGTCACCATCCACTTTGTTAAGATAATCACTATTCTTAAAGTTTGTTTAGGGCCGTGCTTCAGACCCCCAGTGACGTGGCGCTGCCCCATTCGTTGAAAAAAAAAAAAAAAAAAATTTTTTTTTGGGCCAATCACCTTCCTACACGCACGACCCCAGTGACCCCCACTGGGAGTCTTAGGCATTTTTCGTTTGTTTATATTACATGTGATACCCTTTTGATTGTTTAAAAAATGACCCAACCAACCAAAATTCACAAATTTTATCATGACCTAACAAGTTTTTGTATAAATTCCTTTATTTGGACTTTCAAATTTTTCCTAATAAAAATTGGATTCTCTTATTATAAATACGACTTGTAAGTTCATGCTAAATTAATTTTTTCAGCAATGGTTGGTGGCCCGAAATTCAGTGGCTCGAATGGCTCGAAACTGTCAAAACAACGTCGTTTTGAACGCAAAACAAGCAAAAACGACGTCGTTTTGACAGTTTCGAGCCATTTGAACCACTGATTTTGTGGCCCTTAGAAGCAATAGAGTTTTTCTTTCTTGTCCAATCTCTTAAATGTTTTATCAATACCAACTACGGAGTGTGGTGTTGGCCTAAACTCTCCTGTGTCAAAATTAGGAGTCTAACCTTATATGATAATATCATATTTAATCTACTATTTACTACTATTATAAAAATATAAAGAGTCTGTTCTATTTTTTTATTTTTCTTAAATTTCAATTTTACCTTCTCAAATTTACAATATTTTTTGAAAGTTATGAAGAATATTACGTAAATCAACTATCTCTTTATTTTTGGAGTTGAACAAATATATCTGCTTCAAAAAATTCTATATAAATATAAATAAACGGTTTCCCTTCTTATAAAAAAAACAAAAAAACAAAACAAAACGTCACCCTATTTTTTACATTGATAATGAGTGAAAAACAAAAAAAAATTATTCTTTCTCATTTTCTGTGTCTGTTTTTATACTGATATACATAATATTTATAATTGTCCATCATGAATCAAATCATTGTGAATAATTTTGGTTAAATTTTAAAATTGTATACATTCGTTTGAATCCAAACTAAGGAAAACACATGCGTTTTTAAAATAGAAATTTGTGTTGCATATCAAAATTTCGCAGGTTATATTTATACACTTTCTTTTTGTTTAAATTATATTTTATGAACTATAATATTTTACATGGTAATTTAATAACCAATGTATAATGTCCAAATTCTAAATAAGTACCACTTTCGTTAGTTTTATTTTTTAAATCTGTTTTTTAATTTTTAATTTTTCATATTTTCTTAGTATTTGTAATTAAAGATATTGGAATTTTTTCATATTTTATATTTAAATTATACTTTTACATGAAGGTCTAATATCCAATAATCTAAATGGAATTATAAAGCAAAATCTTGGAATTTTTTTTTATAAATTCAAACATGTACTAATTTTTTATTATTATATATTTTTTGGGTTATTATTATTATTATTATTATTATTATTATTATTATTATTTGATATTAATAAAATTTTTTCCAAAAAAATACACAATAAATTATTTTTTAAGTGTATTTAGATTAAGTGAATTTAAATCTAAAAGTAAAAGTAAAAGTAAAAGTAAAAAATAAAAATGTATTAAATTAAGTGAATCTAAAAAGAAAATAAAATGATTGTTAAAAAAACAGTGTCAAAGACAAAAAAACATGAAAATCAAAAAATTCAAAACAAAAATTTGAAAAACAAACCAAACCAAACATTATAAACTTAAAAAAAAAAAAATATTTCTTCACTAATTTCTAATTTTACATAAATTATTCACAAATTCCTTTCAGTTTTTTTTTTTTTTTTTGTAAATTTAATAATCTAATTAAAAAATGGTACGTACATACAAAAATATAACACTAAATATCTACATTATGACCAATTA